AAACCACAAAAACTGTTCACTCTCTACATAGGCATACATAACTGCACATTAAGTGGCCATACCATATGTGATGAGGAAAGTATAGCGCTTATACACATACGCCAGATATTAGTTGGTTCAAAAAGACTCACCGATTCCGGTTTGTCGAAAACGTTCAATCGACATTTACCATATCCGAAGGGCGTCGGAATAGCGTAATCTGCCGGCATCTGGCGAAGCAAAGGTGGCCTTCTTCATGCTCCAGTACAAGACCACGTCCAGACTTGCAAAACCTTGTTAGGACCAAAGGTATATCACCTGCTACAACAAAACCCAAATGCCTGTCACTTACTCAACATATACGGTTGACGTTTTTCGCAGAAGTTGTATATGTACTGGTTGATGAGGAGTTTGTCGAATTCATCTGCTATAAACCGCCGCCCTTCTTACGAAGGCATTCCATACTTCAGCAAAGACCCACAGGTACCGAATTAGTGTTCGGTTAGAGGTCGATTTACCGAAAGTCCATCGTAAATATACTTGGAAAACTTATGATCGTTTTCAACGTAAGAGGTGACTGCGAGATGGCTCTAGTGTCTCTTTAGACAGAACCGATATTTGGTGGTTATTAGCAAATGCGATTAATTCATTGGCTTCTTCGAATTTCTCAGATTTCAGTTAATTTTGCCAAATACTGCTTTTGTAACACACCCATTTATGACACAAAACAACGTTGGTGGTTTGCTTACTCGTTGCATGTACAAGTACCAACTACTTATGCCGCGCGTATTCATTGAACGCCCTCTGAACCGCCACGGATGAAACACGGACGGTTGTCATTTTCTTGATAGACATATCTAAAGCCATGCCCGAAGTCAAAGCAATGAAAATTTGAACTTTCATTATAGCCAAGTGTTGGAAAGGCGGGTGAACTGGAACAAATTCTAACCAGAATGAGGCAAGTTATGGTAGTTTTGAGTTTGGGCATACTTTGGGAAGATGAGAGACTTTATGCTAAAAAAATTTATTCAACAAAGGCTTTGGGAAACGGGGCAACTGCCGACGAAGGCCGCGCCAAATGATAATCAAAAAACCAAGCGCGGGCGTTTGAGCCGTCCCTCGCCGTCAATCAATCTTCCGGCTAATGTCAGAGGAGCAGCAGCTATAAGAGCTCACTACCGCACCCTGGATGGGGACACCTTAGGTTTGTTCCGATAGATAGATGGAATGAAATTTTTCACGTCTTTACTGTTATCTAATAGCCTGTGATCCGTGTGTCAACGTGCTTACATCTAGACTCTCCCAAGTACTGCCTTAAAATTGCCCGAAAATACCGGTACGCCACCCGACAACTCGTATAGTACATATTCTCTTCTCATACCTCCCTTTTTCGGTGCTGAGGCGCCGAGCAAAAGCATTTCATAGGTCTCCCCCGAGGTGTAGTCTACGTAGTTTGGAAACCACAAGAACCACCATAACGTTCATAATAAGATTTTGACGCATTAAGACTCAAATGTATGTAAACTTATCCTGCAATAAACCACGGAAATCAAAATCCTCTGGGAAAAAACAAATAGCTAGCTAACTAACCACCCGCAATCTTCTCAAGATGTTACTACGAAGGATCGCTGACCGGATCAGTCTTCATGCAGGAATACGTTCGTTAACTCCTGCAGAAGATGAACCCATTCAGAGCTTTGAGACCACAGGACTATAATCGAGGAATCACGAACGGCCCGTTGTTCGCACTGGCAAACCACTTCTACCTGGTATTTCGTCAGTCGCTCGAGAAGGCAACCCTAACCACCCGCAATCTTCTCAAGATGTTACTACGAAGGATCGCTGACCGGATCAGTCTTCATGCAGGAATACGTTCGTTAACTCCTGCAGAAGATGAACCCATTCAGAGCTTTGAGACCACAGGACTATAATCGAGGAATCACGAACGGCCCGTTGTTCGCACTGGCAAACCACTTCTACCTGGTATTTCGTCAGTCGCTCGACGAAGGCAACCCCCTGTGCATGGAAGAAAGCGATTGTCACGACTATCTACAAGAATGTCACCTATCCCCTGGCAACTACAGGCCAGTTTACCACACTACCCGACGGCGCAAAATAATAGATCACATTCTGAGGCTGGTCATCTTGAGTCGCGTGAGTATCAACACCTCGATATTTCCAGTTTACTACTGATTTCTGACAAACTGTTCTTGCATGACGAATATGCTGGTACTTCCGGACAGATAAACCCAATAGTCGGACAAAGGAGTCGTTTTGAACGCCGTATTTTTGCCTTTTCGTAAACACCCCATTGAGTCACATGCGTCCCGCTGATCCACGTGCTCGAATTTTATGGGATCCAGGCAAAAATCCTCCGCTGATGTCGTAAGGCGGTAACATCAGACAGAACATTCTGAGTGAAAGTAGACTTAAACCAACATGCTTAGGCACTCGTCTCCGTTGAAGGGCCCGGAGGCTCTGTTTTGGACCACTTCCGTTTCTGAGCTACGTCAACAAATTTTCCGATGTTCTTCCATATCCAAGTCCACTTTTCGTGAACCAGATGCCAGTGCTCTCTAGATGGGTACAGGTGCCGCAAGGTAGTATTCATTTGGCTGGCGCCTTCCGCTGACTGACCAAATGTGCGCCTATATGTCGCGAAATGCTTCACTGTGCATGGTGCTACCGTACCAGGAGACATTACAAGCACAGATACGAAAAAGGATTTGGGTATCTGGCTCACTTCAAAATTGTCCTTCTCGCTAAATCATGAAAACAAAACGGCTCAGAGGGCACCTGTCGTACCAGAAATGATTTGCCCAGCCTTCTTCACATCACTCGCACGAACTTTCGGATACTCTAGTTCACTAAATTTGGAGTGGTTCGTGAATATGCCTACAAAGCTGTCTACTCAGAACGTTGGAACGACACAGTCGTCATAGAGCTTTTCCGGCTGGTTGATACGAGAATCACTACCAGCCTTAAACGCGCTGATTATGAAACACGTATTCCGGTGCTTGAGCTCTTTCCCCTGGAGTATCGTTGTCTCAGAGGAGACCCAATGCTTACTGATTCCTTGTTTGAACAAGGTTTTGCCGACAATTTTCACCGCTGACGCATCTGACACGATGGGAGCACACGGCAGGAAGATTTTTAAGCTCAGAGCGCGCGATTCTATTACGCAACAATAATTTTACTTTCGGGTGGCTGGTAGGTGGAATACCCCCCAAACGATGTTTGTTCATGCAGCATTTAGTAACCGATTCCATGCAATTTAAATACCTTTTAGTTGAGTCCCCAAGCAGAGGGGCTTCTCATTTGTGCATCCAAAGGGAAGGGGGCACTAAAAAACAAAAAAAAATCCGAATCTGGAATCTTTGGCACAGTCCTCGATACTGTGTATCAATCCGTGGACCCATGAGTTCGTGAATCCATGAAGAGTGAAGTAATCAGACTATACATGGCAATTCTTGTATTGTCACATCAGAGAGACAATTAAGGCAAACCAAAAAACTGGTTAGACGTTATCACCTTTTTGGTGACCTCCGCCACTGTGGCCTCGGAAAATCCCTTGGAAACAGTGAATCGCTTGCTCTGATTACACGGCCAAAATCTTCCCACTGTCCATTCCAATAATGGATTCAAATTTATGTAGAAGCTGTTTCAATAGATGCATGAATATATATGTGTTCTTCCGGAACCCGCAGATCGATACAAATTAGCACAGTTGATGAGGCATCGTGATGCCATATTTTTCGACCTCTCAAAAGCATTTGATAGGGTCTGACACGTCTCACGACTCCACAAACTGGATCAAGACGTTCCTATCAGACGGATAATTCCGAGTGATGATAGGCTCGGCCTACTCTTCTATAGCGCCAGTCTCCATTGGAGTTCCTCAAGGCTCCGTCCTGGGACCACTGCTGTTTCAAATCTACCTCAACGACCTTCCAGATGTTTTTGAAAGGCAACTTGAAATCCTGGTGTTCCAATGCCAGTGCATTCCAAACGAATGTGGACTGCAAAGCAGTGGTCGTTGGACTGGCACCTTCCTCTGAATGATGAAAAGTGCGTCCATATATCATTTGGAGGAGACTCAGCGAATGTCCTTGTCATGTATGATGAGAAGGAACCAGGAAACATCATGAGGATAGACGCCGAAAAGGATTAGGGTATCTGGGTCTCCTCAAACCTGTCCTTCTCACTGCACCATGAGAAATCGTCCCAAAAGGCATTCGCCATTTTACTGATGATCCGACGCACCTTCTCCCGTATTACTCGCATGGACTTTCAAATACTCTATGGGGCCTACGCCGGAACGCTCCTGGAATACATAAACCAAGTTGTCTACTCAGGATGCGCGAAAGACGTCACCTCCATTGAGCAAGTCCAGCGAGCCGCTATGAGAATGGTTGTCGGCCTCAAATCCGCGGACTACAAGATGCGTCTCGCGGTGCATGACCTCTTTTCCATGGAGTACCGTCGCCTCCGACGGGACCTAATTCTTACTTATGCCCTGCTTGAACAAAGCCATGCCAAAAGTTTTCTCACCGTTGACCCGGCAAACACACGGCGGGAATATGGTAAGAAGATTTTCAAACCCAGAGCGCACACATTCATTAGGCAAAGCTATTTCTCATTTCTGCGTGGAACGACCTTCCTACGACGGTTGTTCAAGCTCCTTCGGGAACCCAGTTTAAAGCACTATTAGACACTTATTTATGCGAATCCTCGCGCTGGCGAGCATACTGCCCCGCGCTGAGAAGATAAAGAGCAGTGCCACACCCTTTTTTCACTTGTGCCTTTCAGGTGCACGACAGCCGCTGAAGGACTAGGTTGAAACCGATCCGGGAAACTTGGGAAAAAGCATCGATCCTGGGTATCAAACCGTGAATGCGTAATGTCTTGTTTAAAACTATATACCGGGTACCTAGGCGGGTCGATTGACCTTGGCGTCCTACTGGCCGGTTGTGCTTTCATGCAATCTGCTCTGTCGTTTGTACTCCGGCGCGGTCTGATAAATGGAATATGACCCGGCATCACCTACAGAGTAAGTCAGAATCAAGTTTTTATTTTGCTGCTTCAGTGAGCCAGAGGACCCTCTTCCAGACGTTGATCTCTCCAGTATCCCGCTTCCCGGTAAGTCCATGATACCCAGCGGCTGACACTGTTCGTAGGTATCAGAATCCTGCCATCCGTTGAGTGTGGAGACGTTTCCACGATAACTACGTGCATCACCGATATCCCACTTCCACCAACAGACCTGAAAGCCTCCGAGATACCCCTTCCACCGGCACCTGTTGCCGTGCAGTATGCTCCATACTTTTCTGAACATTCGCTTCCTGCGGTGCCGCCACCACCACCACCGCCTCCACCTGCTGCTACTAATTACAGTGAGCCAGATTCCGCCTCTGTCCCACTGAAGTTTAGCCTACGTAGTTCTGCAAAAGGTCTTGGACAGGATGTTTCGGGCGAGCCTTCTGGCGTTTTCGAGTCCTCAAAGGACCTTAAAACCAGCGAACCACGTGCAATGCCGAAACTCCAAGCACTAATGAAGCGCTCAAAGCCCTCAAAACTGACTGTGGGTGTCCTACCGTCCAAAACCAAACTCCCCGCCTCCGAGACGAAAACTGAGCTTTTCCTACCTACAAAGGAAAGTGATGAAAACAACGGTGTTACAGCCGCCTTGGAAGTGGCAGCCAGTTTGGCTTCTACCATAAATTCAAGTGGGCTTCAGTCTGCTCCTTCAAATCCAACTTCCGACCCCAATGAACTTCTTACGAACGCTATGAAAGAGGTGAGTGCGTTAAACAGCTTGGTTCACATGGCTTCTACTGGAAATCTCGCGCAGATCGCCGTTGAGGCATCACGTGCGGAACTATCTGCACATCTTCCTTCTACTCTTTCTTCTGCTAACAACTCCGCGGCACATATCCCCAATCTTATGAGCTTGACCGTGCAACCTGTACAGCCGACACCCCAACCTACCGCACTGTCGGCCGACCCGACATCCGTCCTGCGACAACCGAAGATGAACCTCGCTAATATGCAGTTTGTCAACCCACAGAAATTGCGATCTGCACAAATGATAGCAACCCCTTTGATAGCCAATCCTGCAATTGCTGCACAGCCTCACCACTCCGACGAACAGTCAAAGTCCAGAGATAGTCGGCGGCGTTCGCGATCTCGGTCACGCAGAAGATCGCACTCAGGTCGTCGTTCAAGTCCTAACCGCAGGAGTCGACGGCATCACTCCTCGAGTTCAGATGGTTCTACTCCGCGCCACTCTTCCCGAGGGTATCAACGACGGTCCAGGTCACGCCACAGCTCGGAGGAGCGATATACAAAACCCCGAAGACAATCAAGGGGTCGAGATTGGGACAGACGTGATCGGGACCGCTGGAGAGAAGATTCGTTCGAATCGGAGCGCAGGCGGAGGAGCGACAGATCGTTTGGTGAACGGCGTACTGCTGCGAGGGTTTCACCTATATCGAGATACAGTGAGAGATCGCGTCGTCGTTCTGACTCTCACGATCGTTCCTGGCGTAATAGGTTGTCCAGAAGGTCACCGGACCGTGACAAACGAGCTGATTCCAGAGATAGGGATCGGTTTTCGCGGAACGAGGCTGACCGGCGCAGGTCTAAGCCCGCCGAAAGAAAACGATCGCGCTCCCCTTCGGAACGAGAGGACGTCGAACGGAAACGCAGAAAGTCGAGCTCCGAACAGCGACCGGCTGATAAAATTGGACAGAAATCAAAGGATGTTAGAATCGATCAAACCAGAGTGGATAATCACAATCAGGGGATAGCATCGTCGGACAGTGAGGCAGAATCTAGCGATACTTCTGAGAGCTCCAGTGATTCACACCGAAGTAAAAGTTCAGGGGCACCTGTGGCAGAGAAGTCATCACCTAAGAAGTCAGTGCGGCCTCGTTCAGTCAGTTCTAAAGAAAGTTCGGATTCCTCTCCTATGCAGGATGCTATGAAGGATGATTGCCAAGAGGCGGATGATTTACCCACTAGCGAACCCAGCCCGGCTAAGTCGTTATCCACCCGAGAATCAGAACTCATAAATGCGTCGTTACATCCGAGGAATGCTGGTGTAGGTAAGGCGTGAATCCTTTGTTTTAACCCATGCCAATACCGAAATAACTTGGCGCTGTGCATTCATCCATTACTTTCTGGCCGCTCCAGTTAAAACGGTTCTAAATTCGTATCTCTTGAGATGCACAGTAGCAGTACTCTTTACCTTCAATCGTTGCCCATCAAACTTCTCTCAACATCCGCATGTACACTTTGCATCTGAAGCCAACAACTTCGTAATATGGTTGTACTTGCCAGCTGTATTTTGAAGCTTGTACATTTTGGCAATAAAGTAAATTCGTTATGCAGCCCTGTTCTCATTAGTTGAACTGACGATAGTCGGTAGATAGGTAGCGCTCTTTTGCTAAGGGAACAAGGGGTGGAACGCATTTACTTAATTGCCGTTAAATCGTTTAAGCCTAGGAGTTTAAGCGCATGACACGCGGATCCATCTGTCATCAAAAGCTTCAAGCATTGAGCTATTGGCCCAACACGTTAGACTTAGTTTCTTTCACTCGTATTCAACCGCATTTTGTGTCGGTGCCACCATTAATGAGAATTCTGGAGCAAAGGCTCCATAGATAACTGCTGGTACGTTCGCTGATTTGAACAATTTATTCGCACGTTTCGTAACTCGTCGAATTCACTGCTTGTTCATGCACTGGTGTCTATTCGCTTGGCAACCAGGCGTTTGCAGCTGGAGCACCAAGCTCGCGAATGGTTGAACAGCCCGTATCTAACGAACCATATAGCATATTTCCTGGAGTCCACGGCGCGAAATAACTATTAGTTCCGTCTGTAATAATAGGATGAGATAAAATCCCTTGAAGGTCACTCAGCTGGTCCTTTGTGCCGAGATGTGGAACCCACAGTAGCAAAAATAGTGTAATATTGAGGTTTGTGGGCTGGTTATATCTTGGGTTATTTGGCGGGCCTCTGCTTTGTTTGACTGTGCCCCTCAGGCTCTGTTTCTCCAGTCGCGCCTTCCCAGCAAGATGAGAGTGATGCCATGGATTTGGCCTCAGATACCGAAGTAGGCTCAGCTGACACCGGTAGTCCGGGACCTGTTTCGATCGCGCAACTTTGCAGTGATGACGTTTTTTGTGGCAATACTCCTGAACAATCTGCATCGCACGTTAATTCGGATGCCGACCTAACGGGGATTCAGCATTCAACCGTACCCTCCGGGGGCCCACCAAGTTCTTCGGCACACGAACTCTCATCACCCAATACCGTGCGATTGGATTCCACATTGGAACCTATCGCTGCGGTCACAAATCTCATGGTAGACACCAGTCCTCAACCCTCACCGGCGCATTCCATCCCTGGGCGTGTCGAGGGCAAGTATGATCTACGCGAGAGGAAGACGAAGGAGAACAGAGCAACTGACAGGGAGTTGGACCGTCTACTCAGTGCGATGTTTGCCGATCTTGCAAGGTAAGTTGTTTCTGTGCGCCTAACCGCCACCGTCTTGTGTTGTGCTTCCTGTTGAGATTACTAGACTACAATTAGGATGCTGGATCTTCGTCTGGTACTCGCTAATGGATTTTATCCAGAGTTCGACTCGTAAGTATTGTGTTTAAATTAAAGTACATATAGTCTATTGGTGTCGATTAGGTGCGTAGTTCTTTAGGTAACTCCTACTTAGGAACGATATTTCAATGCGCCAGTAAAAATAAGCCAGTTTGAGCAACACGAAGCTCGGTCACGTGAACGTCGGACTATCCACTATCGAGGCAAGTGTTGTCCCCCGAGCCTCCAGAATGGCAAGCTCCTTGGTGGACGTCTGACTGGGCAGGTAGGTTTGAAAGGGACTACGGAAGGGGGGGCGAGATGGCCCAAGTGGTTAGAGCGCGAATTTACTGACCGGAAGGTCCGTGGTTCGAATCCGACCTCCGCCACTCGACTTCCCCTGTCTAGGCTTGGGCAACCTGGCAGTATCCCAGCCCTCGTGCTTCCTTCGGGTGGCATGGAAGCTAGGCACCGGAAGGGTGCTACAGCTGAACGCTTAGTGATGTTTGTGCCTCCAGTCCTGTTCGCATTTTTAAGCTGGGTGTTGATACCTGTGAACCACATTGCATTCGCATCAAGAAAGAATCCGGTTTCTTTCCGACAACGTATGTTTGTTGCCTGACTGCCGCACAATCATGTCATTCAGGCACTCCAGGTTGGGCGGGGTTAAAGCGAACCATGGTCGACGTGGACTGATTTTGAAGAACGCGATAAATGCGGTATTCACGGGGAGCAAACCTATTATCAGGATTTTCTTCCACTACTCAAAGGTTTTATCCATTGCCTTGACAATAACGCTATGCTCCATGTGAATTCTGGGTGTAGATTATCTTCGTAGATCAACTTGGGTTTGCCATCTGTAAGATTCTGAAGGCTCTGTTCGCCATTGCTAAATTAAAATGCGTTTTTTGCTCGATTTTCGCATGTATTAATTGCTCTTTCATATTCTTTGTTAACAGGTCTGAACCATCTTCGGAAGTTTTTGATTCCCACCCAGAGGCTCCCAGACCAGAATACCAGCACATTGTTGAAAATGATTATAGTCGAATAGAGCGCATCAACATGACAACAATGCAAAATAAGGTGGACGGTACCGCCAAAGCTAGCTTACTTGGGTCGACGGCTAGTTTGACACATCATGAAATGCGACGTTGGATCTGTGACTGTGCAACACCTTCCGTGGAGGAAATAAGAGCTGGGATTTTCCCTTGCGGTCCAGGCTGCATCAATCGGGCATTGAATATTGAATGTGGCCCATCCTGTCCAGCAGGCGAATTTTGTCATAATCGTCAATTTCAAAAGCGTTTGTATGCGCCAACCGAACCATTTTATTGTGGACCGGGAAAGGGTTGGGGGCTGAGAACCACATCCCCGGTCAAGAGGTGAGTATTAAGATGACTTCATTTGACCGTGTTACTGCTATCGTGAAGAGGTAAACCTATCGAGGCGCGACGGTCTGTGCACCTCAGAAACCCATTGAGCTGTACTAGAGAATACCGATGTTGCACCAACGGAGCCTATCCTACCAGACGTATTTTGAGTAGAGGTTTGACATTCTCTTATCCCCATGTGGTGATTGGAACAGGCGTGACAGCGTGTTGAAAGTTGGTCTTACACCAACCACTGCTGCCTTCCGGTCAGGTTTCTGACTTCAAGGCTTTGACTGAGAACCCTAATCATTTTCCCGCCAAGATCTTGATCTCCTGGCAGTATTTGGGCTTACGTTCAAGCGTGAATTGCGCAACGAAACGTTTTTCTTCATGCCAAGCCGGTCGTTTCGTACTAACATCATCCAAGTCAACTTATTCGCTGCACAATGTAGCGGATAAAGTAAAACGTACCTGCTGATAACTTTTTCACTATATTCCTAGCTTTCCCCTTTTCTCGTTTGATGATCACTCTTTTGTAGAGCCCGGCCGTAGACACGTCAATCAGACATCGGGGGAAGTGACCAGTTGCATACCACCGCCCACATCTCTCGCTAGTTTCATTAATAAGATCCTGTTCTCACGTTTCTGTTGCCTTGTCGTCTTACAGTGTTTTTCTTTTAAACAGCTGGTCATGGTGACCAACATGCCTCTACTGCGTGCACCCTCGATATTTTGTCGATAGACGCTTGCTGCGTTTCCGAAGCCCAAATCCAAGGTTAAAGTACAATAGTTGATGTGGGAACTACTCTCTGGAGCATCGTCATCATTATCCGGCATTAGAGGCTGATAGTAAATTTTCCATAATCGTATCAATGACGAAGTTGAAGAGGAAAGGTGAAAGAGGACAGCCCTGTCTAAGAACACTTGATGTGGTGAACTCAGGCGAGGGCTTCTCGTAGACCTTCACACGGCCGCGGGAGTTGGTATACAGCGCCTGTATTTATGCACTAATTTATCAGCTCCCGCCTCTAATACGCAGCCATCTACCCCACCTCCCCGAATCATCGGTGAACGAAACTGTGGCAGCTACAACCACTGTACGATAAGTACGCGGTTTTTACAACTGTGATGATGATGATGATGATGATGATGATGATGATGATGAATGGATGACGTCTTGTAGCACGGTTTCCCAATGACTAGCAAAGGCTAACGGGAATACTCGTCTACGACCGTCAGTAGATATTTGTTTCGAGTCGTCGAAGGCAGTGGTCCCCTGACTTCAATGCTTAAGCGTCCAAACGTTTGTGTGGCTTTCGTAAGGGTACCACCAGGTGGTTTGAAGAAACCTGGTTCTAATTCCGCACATACATGACACTGCTTACTGACAAGTCGGATGTCCTCTAGGGAGAATGGAAGATTATTGGCACGAACGAAATGCATCATGGCAGCTAGGCACTGGAAGGTTGTTACAGCTGACCAATATAGGAAGGATCTCGTTGATTTAGAAAGATGTTATTTTGTTTATTGTTAATAGGTAGTGGGGTGCATAAGCCCTTTGGTCAGATAATTGACAATCAAATGACCCGGCGACTTTTGCTTGTGTGATGGGATTGGAGAAGGACATCGTTGGACACCGAACTGCGCGGGCAAACTATAATTCCCGGTTGCCCAGGCCGAGGAAAGGGGTTTGGCTGAGGTACCCCACCTTGAGCCTTCGACTCAAAAATCTGCCCCACGAGGCAGCGGACAGTAGGGTTTCCTCTTGGCACTCTACCCGAAGCCGATGAGTGAATAGTCTAACCGGCTTGGCTTCAAGGGGCTGGCTTAACCCGATGACGCAGGGATTAGGGTATTACTGTCTCACCCCGCATGTGGCTGCGCACAGCAGGTGCCTTTTGGCACAGGACTCTGGCCTTGAAAGTATTTCAACCGTATTGAATAATGTTTCCGCGGTCACGGTCAACTGTTGAGCGGTCGGAGTGTGCGGTTTTTAGGTCCGACCTTTGCTAATCTGCACTTCCTCGGGGCAAGACTGCATCGCTGCTTCCGTGAATATGGACATGATGGTCGCCTGGGAGAAACGCCTTACTCCCTTCACGCTGCTATCGCAGAGGACAGTAAGACTTTAACCCCAGATCGCCCCGTAGAATGATTACTCGTAGTACGGAGTCTCGCTGCTTTTGGTCTGGCTGCTCCCCTTTGGCCTTCCTGGCATGATTGCACCTTGTGGAACGGCGTTTCAGTCAGTATAGACCGCGGGATCATTGCAGCATTCAAGCCCGATCATGATGTCAAGGTACCAGTTTTATGTCTCTAGTGTGAGCATAGATGTCAATATGGCTCGCAACTCTGTAACTGGGACACCCTTGATTGATTACCCGTGGATAGTCCTCTGTGCCTCATTTTGGTCCAATTAATAACCACTGCTTGGTTTCAGACAATAGCTCTGAACCAGTAGGTGACAACTTCTATTGAGGAATGTCTCCCCCGTTTATTCACCATAAGGAATTCGCACGTGGTCCTAATCGCAGATTTCAATGCGCAAGTAGCCCTTCTGAACTGAGGCGAGGCACAGTTTGCTGGTTATTTTAGCTCAGACGTAAGGCGTAATAACAGCGGTGAACGTCTATAGCTTTGTGCTGCCTACAAGTTTGTCCTCATTGACACCAACACCTGATGAGAATACTAGTGTTTGACTACCTTGTCAGTTTATTTGAATAAAGCCTTATAAGGGAAAGAAGAAAGGGATGGAACAGGAAATGATGATGATGATGATGATGATGATGATGATGATGATGATGATGATGAATGGATGACGTCTTGTAGCACGGTTTCCCAATGACTAGCAAAGGCTAACGGGAATACTCGTCTACGACCGTCAGTAGATATTTGTTTCGAGTCGTCGAAGGCAGTGGTCCCCTGACTTCAATGCTTAAGCGTCCAAACGTTTGTGTGGCTTTCGTAAGGGTACCACCAGGTGGTTTGAAGAAACCTGGTTCTAATTCCGCACATACATGACACTGCTTACTGACAAGTCGGATGTCCTCTAGGGAGAATGGAAGATTATTGGCACGAACGAAATGCATCATGGCAGCTAGGCACTGGAAGGTTGTTACAGCTGACCAATATAGGAAGGATCTCGTTGATTTAGAAAGATGTTATTTTGTTTATTGTTAATAGGTAGTGGGGTGCATAAGCCCTTTGGTCAGATAATTGACAATCAAATGACCCGGCGACTTTTGCTTGTGTGATGGGATTGGAGAAGGACATCGTTGGACACCGAACTGCGCGGGCAAACTATAATTCCCGGTTGCCCAGGCCGAGGAAAGGGGTTTGGCTGAGGTACCCCACCTTGAGCCTTCGACTCAAAAATCTGCCCCACGAGGCAGCGGACAGTAGGGTTTCCTCTTGGCACTCTACCCGAAGCCGATGAGTGAATAGTCTAACCGGCTTGGCTTCAAGGGGCTGGCTTAACCCGATGACGCAGGGATTAGGGTATTACTGTCTCACCCCGCATGTGGCTGCGCACAGCAGGTGCCTTTTGGCACAGGACTCTGGCCTTGAAAGTATTTCAACCGTATTGAATAATGTTTCCGCGGTCACGGTCAACTGTTGAGCGGTCGGAGTGTGCGGTTTTTAGGTCCGACCTTTGCTAATCTGCACTTCCTCGGGGCAAGACTGCATCGCTGCTTCCGTGAATATGGACATGATGGTCGCCTGGGAGAAACGCCTTACTCCCTTCACGCTGCTATCGCAGAGGACAGTAAGACTTTAACCCCAGATCGCCCCGTAGAATGATTACTCGTAGTACGGAGTCTCGCTGCTTTTGGTCTGGCTGCTCCCCTTTGGCCTTCCTGGCATGATTGCACCTTGTGGAACGGCGTTTCAGTCAGTATAGACCGCGGGATCATTGCAGCATTCAAGCCCGATCATGATGTCAAGGTACCAGTTTTATGTCTCTAGTGTGAGCATAGATGTCAATATGGCTCGCAACTCTGTAACTGGGACACCCTTGATTGATTACCCGTGGATAGTCCTCTGTGCCTCATTTTGGTCCAATTAATAACCACTGCTTGGTTTCAGACAATAGCTCTGAACCAGTAGGTGACAACTTCTATTGAGGAATGTCTCCCCCGTTTATTCACCATAAGGAATTCGCACGTGGTCCTAATCGCAGATTTCAATGCGCAAGTAGCCCTTCTGAACTGAGGCGAGGCACAGTTTGCTGGTTATTTTAGCTCAGACGTAAGGCGTAATAACAGCGGTGAACGTCTTTTATAGCTTTGTGCTGCCTACAAGTTTGTCCTCATTGACACCAACACCTGATGAGAATACTAGTGTTTGACTACCTTGTCAGTTTATTTGAATAAAGCCTTATAAGGGAAAGAAGAAAGGGATGGAACAGGAATGGGGACCTATGGCTAACTTGTCACGAAATCTATATTGCGTACACCTCCGACACTCAGTCAGACAGCTTGGATGGTGATACCATGAACGCCACTGACATAGGTTAGTTCACTCTCTCCAATCAAACGCATGGATCAGAACTCAGAGAATGAACAGCACCAGCAGCCCCCAAAATTCCTCGGAACAGTAGTCCTCTCCGCCCTGCCAAATTCCGTCCACATCTAGTGCCTGCCACTCCAAATTAGGCGGGTAAAACAGCACTCTTCTTGACAAGTCGTGGCTTGATAAGTGTAACACAGCCTAAAAAATAATCGTTCATCTGTAGCCCCTTTTCGGTGCCTAGCTGCCATCCCACCTGAAGGAAGCGCGAGGGCTGGGAGACTGCCAGGTTGCCCAAGCCTAGACAAGAGAAGTTGAGAAACTGTGGTCGTGTTAGAACCGTGAACCTTCCGCTCAGTAAATTCGGGCTGTAACAACTGAGCCATCTCCCTTCCAACCACCTCAGCTTGCAATACCGGATGCATCCCTTGAGTGAGGTGCCGTCTGCTTCACCGAAATCCCGTCTCCTGACCGCCTTATTGCGAATTCTCTGGTTCCAACCG